ATAGTGAACTGGGGAGGAGGACTGTGGTCTGAGAGAAACTCCCTGGATTTATGAGATTTAAATATAAATAAAAAAATAACAATGTTTCTGTAATGATTGCAGACAGCTTTTGAACTCCTCTGGGTTTCCACCTCAACACCTGAGAACACTGGACTTTCCCTGGCTTCAGTCAAACCTAGAAATAAAATCTTGTTCCCTGCGACTCTGACTTCCTCATCAACATGCATGTTGCATTTCCTGTTTATTAGTGGAGTATTGGTGATCTGAATCTTATAAAACAACGACAGCTGCACCTTTCAACCTGCCTGTATGTCTGAGTCACATGTTCTAACAGTTGTGTGACATTTTTGGTTGAGAAGTCTACGACACGTAACACTGGCTGGTTTTTAACGTCTTTTTTTTTGATAAATAATATATACTGTAGCTAGGGCTGGATCAGGTGATGCTGAATCCTCTGTTACTTATGCTTCGAGGGGCTTCTTATTACATCACATGACTAACATGCGTCAACGTTTTCGAAAGTCTCCGTTTTCACTGTCCACACTGCGACGCGAAAGCACCGTTTTCAAATGCGTGTGTTTTCGAGAGCGTTTTCCAAACGCTGCGTTTTCCTTGAGCAAAAACGGCTTCTCAGTGTGGACGGGCGGCCAAAACGGAGAGAAAACGTGTGGACGTAGCCTTCGTGTCATCTGCCCGTTGGTGAAGCGATTGGCCAGAAATGCAGTATTTGACATATTTGTTAGTGTTCATCACACCATCACTATCATGTGATTGTAGCTGCTACCTGAGCATCCCTCTCTGGCACGCCGGCTGCTGTACGTACCCGGGGCTTCGGTCACCTGACCTTCCTAGCTGTTACAGGTCACATCCATGCCGCTGCTACTTCAGTCTGAATATGGTTGTTGATTGAGGTTGCTGGTCCTTTTGTTGCGATTGCCTGCAGATTATTTTCTCAGAAGCGTTTCCTCCATGGATTACTGGTATGTTCTTATTTTGTCCAATGAATTTAATTACTTTACTGGGGAGTAAACAGGTGAGTTTATAGGTCGTAGCTGCAGAAGCGTATCGTTGGCCGTTTTTTTATTAGAGCACTTCGCTCTTGCTCTGCAGGCCTACTTGTTGTTCCTAGAGTATTTAAAAGTAGAATGGGAGGCAGAGCCTTCAGTTTTCAGGCCCCTCTTCTGTGGAACCAGCTTCCAGTTTGGATTCAGGAGACAGACACTATCTCTACTTTCAAGATCAGGCTTAAAACTTTCCTTTTTGCTAAAGCATATAGTTAGGGCTGGACCAGGTGACCCTGAATCCTCCCTTAGTTATGCTGCAATAGACATAGGCTGCCGGGGGATTCCCATGATGCATTGAGTTTTTCCTTTCCAGTCACCTTTCTCACTCACTATGTATTAACAGACCTCTCTGCATTAAATCATATCTGTTATTAACCTCTGTCTCTCTTCCACAGCATGTCTTTTATCCTGTCTTCCTTCTCTCACCCCAACCGGTCGCAGCAGATGGCCGCCCCTCCCTGAGCCTGGTTCTGCCGGAGGTTTCTTCCTGTTAAAAGGGAGTTTTTCCTTCCCACTGTTGCCAAAGTGCTTGCTCATAGGGGGTCATATGATTGTTGGGTTTTTTTCTCTGTATCTATGAAGCGCCTTGAGGCGACTTATGTTGTGATTTGGCGCTATATAAATAAAATTGAATTGAATTGAATTGAATTGAATTTTTATCTGGGACTCGAGCAGAGCAACTTGATTGGTATATACTTTTGACTTGTCGTGATCTTAGCATTACTTCTGTCACTATCATTTTTACCTTGAATGCAAATTTTACTACATATTGCAGGATGTTTGGGCCTCGGTAGGAGGCTCAGGCACAACCCACTGGATCTCTGTGGTGACCCAGAATGTTTAAGTCTTTGTAATCCCTCTTTTACGATTAGTTGATTTTGTGTTTTCTGTGGTATGCACCTACTTTTGCACCCCTGGTTTAAGCTGCACCTTAGTGAGAGCTCATGTAAAGGTTGATGATTCTTCGGACGTCATCATCATCTGGCATCCCCACTAATAAGCCACAACTCTGAATCAATTACCAGTGTAGATGCAATTAAATTAACAACTTTTATTTGATGTCTGTTTTTTACGTAGCTGGCAATAAACTATTTATTTTACACCCTGAACCACATTTCTGTCCGAAGCATAACAGACCTGAGTGCCTACTAGCATAGTTTGAACTAGATATTCCCAGGGTGGCATTTTGTGGTGTCCTTGTGATTGTAAAGCCTTTAAGCTCCCAGTCACCACACCACCGTCTCAGTGTGTGTGAATGTGCCGTGCTCATTGGTTTCTTTTCCTCATCACACCCCCTGGCCACACTAACAAAGTGGAGCTTACATTATCACGGCTTCATCATCACTGGTGTCCAGTTCCAGCCTTCCACACTGTCAAACAGTCACACAGGTACCTTAGAGCTTTGTGAAAATTTCCTGGCTGTAGATTTTAATCAAGACTGGTTGCCTTTTCTCAGTTTTAAATACACATGTTACTTGTTTAAAACTGCGAGACCACCTCAATCCAGGATTAAAACTGACTGATGAAAAGGAGGCTTTCTTTTCTTTTGAACTTCTCTCTCTGTCATGGAGGTACACGAAGCTTTAAAGCTTTTGGTCTTGATAAACTTGATCCTTATTTTCTTAAAGTTGAGCCACTAACTGATATTTATAATCTTACCCCCATGAACAACAAGATTCCTGACATATGGAAAAATTGTTTTAAATACATAATTTTAATCTCATATATTCAGATTTTTTTTCTCAGAATATAGCACCCCTGTCCCAGCTCCATCTTTTTTAAATCAGGTCAGCGTCTATTGCAGATCATTACTATAATACAATCAGTTCTACAGCTTTCTTTAAGCTGTCACACAAGCTGCTGAAGCACAGTAAAGAAATCAATGTCTCCACTGAACACTTCTGTAAGTCTAACCCTTCCTACAGACACGGTGCCACTGTTTCATCCTCCAACCTAAATAATGTTGCACTAAAACCAAACTGACCTCTGATGGTAGCGTGGATGTTGTGCTTCTCAATCAGCAGGTACCTAGGACTCTCTGGGAACCATGGCAACAACATCAGCTGGATGAAAGTGGGCACAGCAATCACTGAAAGAAAGAGGGGCCAGTGCTCCTCCTACAACAGTAACACAACAGTTATGCTTACCAACAGTAAGTGCTGAGAAAAACACCAGCAATAATTCATTAATAGCAACATTTTGGTTTGGCAACAAATCAGTCACAAGCCTTTGAACATGGGGGGACCATGTATAACATTGTCTTTGGTTCCTAAACAGCTTTTAGAGCACATTTTGTAAAACCTTCTGAACGTTTGAAATTGAAAGTCTTCAATCACATCTTGACTGTTTGATTTAAAGTATACTGTTAGCAGTGTATGCTACAGTCCAGTCCGCACGCAGGTTGTTTGACTACCTTTCCTAGAAGCTCGTGTAGACCGAGGATTTGGGCAACAAAAACTCCAGTTCCAATGAAGATGCTCGGCACAAGGCCAAGGAAACCTCTCAAGTTCTTTGGTGCTATCTCACCCAAGTACATTGGTACCACACTTAGAGAGATGCCTGCAAGAATAAGAGCAAAGAAGAAGATTGTTATGATATTACTCTGATTCACTTTTAAACATTAATTTAATTGAAAATAAAGTATATAAAGAGTTGGGAATGAGGATGTGTTTATTACAGAAGAGGGAAAAAAGATTTTTTATCACGGTGCTTTGCCAATATTTCTTCCTCTGCACACAGGGAATGGCCTTCCTCAGACTGGTGTGTGTGTGTGTGTGTGTGTGTGTGTGTGTGTGTGTGTGTGTGTGTGTGTGTGTGTGTGTGTGTGTGTGTGTGTGTGTGTGTGTGTGTGTGTGTGTGTGTGTGTGTACCTGAGTGGATTCCTGTGATGAAACGGCCAATGATGATCATCTCAGGTGACCCACATATCCTGCTAAAGCCCATGAGTAAAGCAGCAATAAACACCAACACTGTTGTGTTTACCACTGTCCCCTTCCTGAAAGTACACGTACAAAGCACATAAAAGTAAGTGACCCAGAGGTTTATGAAACAGCAAGGGCAATAAAGGAAACCCCATCCCCTGATACACACAGTCATAACCAACCCAGGTTCATTGCAAAATGTGTAATAGACACACCGGTTCACTGCGTCGGTTTCACACTTTGCCTCTCAAAAGCATAAAATGGACATGCATGCAGAAGCTGCAGTAATAGCAGAGGGAGACACTTCATTTATTCAGTAATATAGGAATGTGTGTAAACAGGCATTGTTAGCACATGCTCGTGTAAATACATATTAGCTGCCCAGCTATTCTGGCAGTTCAGGACTCTGGAATGTAGTGATTTTTGTTCACTGCTGATTTCTTGGTTTTAAGTAGCTGTCTCTGCTGGAAATGCAACTCCTGCATGTGTGTTCACTTTGTCAGGGTTCCTGGGTCGCTGACGCTGCATTTTCAGTTCATGTTCACTGTTTGTTTTCCTCATGTTCCATTTCCGGATTCATTATGTTCAGCCGTGTACTCACCGGTCTCTCATCATCATCCTCGTGAGTCGCTGCATTTAAACCCTCAGTTTATCTCGGTTCAGCGTCAGTGTTGCTGTTAGGTTGTCGCCATATGCTCAGTTCATTCAGTCAGCCAGTCATTTCCTGTTTGTTCAATAAACACCAGCTTTCACCGCGAGTCCTGCATTTGGGTCATCTCTTCCTCTCCTCCACACACGAAACTCCCGACACATTTCATGCTTTGGATAGTGTGAAATGAACACGGTGGACCGGCGTGACTATTTCACGCTGATATCGGGGTGACACACATGCAAAGCTGTTTAAGTCCCAAATAGCCACAAACTTTGCTCATACGCTGTGATTAACCATAAATCTGAAGAATGTGAATGAATGTGAAGAAATTGATCAGCTTATAAATATGATTTTATTTTCATTTAAATGTAGACTGACAGGAATGTGGAAAAAAGGAGAAATGTGTCACCAACCCATCATCAGAGATGGGCAGTAACGCATTACTGTAATCCGATTACTTTTTCAAGTAACGAGTAAAGTAAGGGATTACTATTGCAAAAACGGTAATTAGATCCCCGTTACTTTCCCGTAGGAA